CAGCAGAGTCATGAGTCTTCATGAAAAGGCAGACTTCATAGGAAGAAAGTCAGTATCACTGTACACAGCTTTGTTCAATATAACAAAGAAACATACCAGTCCCTTGTGACATCAGATTAACTGATTAATCGAGAAAATAATCAGCAGATTTCTCGATAATGAAAATTGTTGGTTGCGGCCTAGATACAGAATGACCATGCTTATTTTGTTGGCAAGATACGTACCTACAGTGTATCAAGAAAGATTAATGTGTTTCCCTTTTACACTCATTCACCTTTTTAAAATTTTTATTATTATTATTATTATTATCTATAGGGTGTTTCTGAGGGGCGGGGGTGGTGCAGTGGAGTTTGCATGTTCTCCCCGTGTCCGCATGGGTTCTCTCCGGGTGCTCCGACTTCCTCCCGCCATCCAAAGACATGCAGGCTAGGTTAATTGGTGTCTCTGAAATTGTCCTTAAATATCTGTGTGTGGACTAGCGACCTGTCCAGGGTGTACCCCGCCTTTTGCCCAGTGTAAGCTGGAATTGGCTCGAGCCCCCCGCAACCCTGTACGCAGGATAAGCGGTTGACGATGGATGGATGGTTGTTTCTGAGTGCGTGGATTTGTGGTAGGGTTGTTGTTATTGTGGATGTTGTAATTAACTAAACTCAATTGAGGTTTCAGCTTCTCTTATCTTTGGTACTTTGCACTTGCTAAATGAATGAAAGCTAGGTACAGCTAAATTGTTGCATGTTATATTATATGTAATATATATTATAAATATATTGTAACAAGAAGAAAAGCTGAAGTAAAAGAGCATATTTTGTGGTGATATAATGTGGTGAATATAAAATTTAATAATGTTTTTATTTTGGCCTTGTTCACATCCATGGCCTTGTTTGACAGTTTGATAGTGGAGACAGGAAATGACAGGGATGACGTGCAAAAAAGGGAATCAAACCTGGGATTACATATGCACCTTGGATAGGCAACAGGGACTCCTTGCTTTACTAACGTTTTTGAACTAATCATAAATCAATGTTGTAGTATTTTGTTCCAAGTGTAAATGTGTATAGCTTCTGAAAACATGCTGATATCATAACTTACGCCACACACTGTTGGGTGAAACAATGAGAGCTCAGACTAAATCAACCAATCTATGAAACCAATCTTAAAAACCAACGCATTCAAGCATGACAGTAACTACTCAAATGATATGATTCCACATAGGACAAAAAAAACAACATCCTGTACGTGACTACATTCTGATGACAGTCTGAGTGTAGGTCGGGACCACAGATGCATTGTGCACGCAGGGTCAGGTACAATCACAGAGATCTTTTGCGCAATAATTAATTACACTTGATTGCACTCTATAGTTTCTCCAACAGAATTGTTCAAGTGTGATTTTAATTCCCCAGTTGGCATCCGTGACCTTAAAGGTCTGCTTGAACATCAAGGAGCAGTCACTTCAGAGCTTAACGACTTTGGATCAGGTTGTAGTAGGGGAATTATTCTTTGACAGGCTCATATAAGCATCTTTGTAACAATGACATTCATCATGTTTTTTTTATAGACGCATCCATTCACTTAAACTAGACTAGTGTTGATTTAAAGGTCGTGAAACTGTGGCTGGGATTTTATTTTCTTTATACATGCGTGCAAACTGCGTCACAATTTTAAGCTTGCATTGAGCAGTTATTTAAGATAGATGATAGGGATGATAAGGACGATAACGCTAATAATTCAATTGATAAATCAGGTAGGTTAGGAATCTATTATTACTCCGCGCCTTTCTCATCTATAACCCGCTAGCAGTCATTTCCCATCTCACAGACTGTCTGGATGACTGATCAGGGTTGTGATTGTTTCCCCTCTCCCCAACACACCACCGCCACATACGTCAGCAGCAGCACATACATCTTGAGCAGTCTCTAACTCCAAGCCAGAGCAGTATAGAGCCCTAGTAAACGTTGCAATCAGCGCCAGAATTGGGCCAATTCCTCATAACCTTGTCTGCACGTGGCACCTTGCCTTGAATCATAAGAGCGTGAGGCTGTAGCGAGTGTTCAATCTGTCAGCAAAGCAGCTATATTGCCCCAGTACAGTTGAAGAGGGTAAATCGACATTTAATTATCTGTGTCTGCCCACAAAAGCGGCATGGGCATTGTAGACCTGATGGAGAGACCACAGAAGTAGTTGCCACAAACCCTGTTATGGCAGCAATATGTATAAACAGCAGTTACGTGACATTGCAGCTCATTTCATAAGGTATATGCTATTATGTTCCTGACAGCAGACACATTTTTTGAACAAAGCTTTTTGAATTGTTTTACTTCTATGAAGACACGTGGCCTTTACAAAAGAAAGAAACATTAAGTAAACATCTCAGGTGTAATGAAAACCCAAATGTTGAATATTTATTCCCAAAGATCAAGCTTCTATGCCTTCAAACCTATTTTTGATTTGTCACTCTCTTTTCTTCCGAGACATCAATACAACCCCATCGTAGTTTGAAAAGTTGACTCTGTGGCTTCTTGATGAAACAATCATCTTTTCTTTTAACAAAGCTAAAGCTTTGCCATCAATAAAAAGTGACTCCCATCAAAAACACTCGGAAAAAAAGGCATCAAATTTATAACCACAAACTTAGACTTAGAGATGAGTTCCTATTGACCCATTGTTGAGGGAAGATGTTCGATCTTCTGCATTATGTTCAGTCTGGTGGCAGAGGTCTTTATGTTTCTCTTGAGGAGAAAAGCAAAATCAATGGTGAAAATGTTTCACATGATTCATTTTTAAGCTCAATCGAAGTGCAGCAATTTTTCCAAATAATTATGAACAATCTCACATCTTGCATTTCACATCTTCACCACCCAATCATAGGTATATAAGCAAGCAGTGAAAGGCACTGTGTGGAAATTGATTGTCCTCTTTCTCCTCTCTCACAATCTTCAAAATAAACAAAATGTGCTGATCAATCCAGTCAACTAAGTACACCTCTTGTCAATGTCTCCAGCTTCACAATGGAGACTTGATGTTTCTGGAGCCATTAGTTATGACCAACTTGCCAGACGAGGAATTGATCGCTGGCCGGTGGTAAATGCAACAACAATCATTTCACAGGGAAAAGAATAGAGTGAGAGAGAGACTGTGTAGTTGTATATGGATGTGTGACCTGCTTAAAAAGTGTCGACTTAAATGACTTTTTAACTTACTCAAAGTAGAAACTGGTTTGATTTATTTCATTGTTGTTATAATAGTCCTCAGTGTCCTTCAGAGTCACTTTTACACTTCTGTGTTTCTTTTTGTTTCAACATTGCCTTGCACAGCAACATTAATATCAAGAAGAAGTTTTCTGGTCTCTTCTAATAACCCTCCTGGCTCCACTTACTTCTACTGTCTAAGTGCATTATACTATTTCTTGTAAAGGCAGGAGACACTGTAGCATCTGGCACTTCCTACAATGACAAGGAGTGAACAGGAGACTAAACTGATGGCTACATTAAGATTTAATGTCAACTGCTGTAAGAAACACAAACAATTAAAATCCAGTTTGCTTCAACAGCTACTAAAAATGTAGAATTTTAACTGCAGTACTGCATCTCCACATTTCTTCTCTTTGTGTCACAGTAGGGAGCTCTCCTGCTCTAGGGCCAGGCTCCCACCAATTATCAGCCCAGGTGATTGAGAGCACAGACCGCCATCTCTCTATAGAGGGCACCCACAGACCCAGAATGTCTTGTTTGCTAGTGCTGTGTACATTTTGTATTTGAAAGAGCAGCAAGTCAATGAATCTCGATAATGCGAGAGCCGGGCCACATAACTCACGTTGATAGTCCTTACATTGTGCCAAGAGGCAATAAATCTGCTCTGGGAGACATGAATATGCAGTGGCAGTCAGTCTGACTTGCTCTTGCTTGCATGCCCCCGATGCACAGTTTATTCCTCTCCCCCATTCCAAACAGAAAAATAAAACCAATGAGCCACAGCACTATCTCATCAACAGTGTTCTATTAAGCACAAATAAATGTAGCAGTGCATTTTTCAGAATATCCTTAAAAACGCCAAATCATTAATGTAACAAATTGCAATTTGTGGTGTTGGCTTATTAGAAATATACTACATAAATGCCAAATTGGTTTATATTTTTCCATCTATCTATCTATCTATCTATCTATCTATCTATCTATCTATCTATCAATCAGCATATTAAACATGTTTCTAGATGTAAAACATGATTAAGCAACCCAGAAAGTTTTTTTAAGTTAAAAATGAATCCCAGGGGCTGCAGCTTTCATCCTTCCAAAGTTTTTATTTTTAGCCTTTTGATGATGCTAGAAGTTTCAGATATCTGTTTTAGGCAAAATGCATAATATAGCCTCCTTGCTGAAATCTGTGCCATAAACAGGTAATTCAATATTTTCAGCTGGGCTTTGCCACCTCCACTGCAGTGGTGAGAGAGACACCAGAAGCACAGCCTGTAGCTTGTATATGATGGCTCTTCATAAGGCATGAAAAATGAACAGCCAGATAGGCACAGGGCAGTTATGGGGGTTTAATGTACTCATTGACACAGACAGAACGTCTCAGAGAACAGCGATAAGAAGTATGCTTTGTCAATGGCCCAACCCTCAGCTGACACTTATTTCCCTCATGCAAATAATTCATCCCGTTCACAATAATGCAGGCAGCCAGGGAGTATCCATCTTCTTTGCTTGAGACAAAGAAAAAAATATATAATCTCCATCTCAGTGCATAGCTAAATAAGAAAAGAAATATTCATCAGTAATATTCAGTACACAAGAACAAAATCTTGAATCGCATTATTTCAAATGTGAAGAAATTAATGAATAACATATTGCACGTGTATACAACACCTGGAAAAGTACCGGGGCATTAGTCGGATCCCTCTCACCTCCATAAAATACTTCTTGGACATAGTTGACAAGTATGCGTAACGACGCGTGCCTCTAGTGGCACCGTGGAAGGAGGGTCGTCAGACGCACACAAATGCCCGGCTTTCTGCACCACCTTCCATCCAGCACAAACTAGATGATTTTTTTTATTTGAATACTGTGTAACAAAGATCCTTTTTGGGCGTTCTTCAATAACCAGCCTCGTGTAGGCTAATCACCGTGCGTAACTGGAGAGGAGCGTCGCGGAGCGGCTTTTCTACCTCCACAAAGTATCTCTGTGTTATATGAACAGGTTTCATGACTGGAACTGCTGGAGTCATTAAACTGCAATAAGCATTTTCTGAATGTTTAAAGTGCGTTCAGATCCCTCAGCATTCCTCGTGTAACGCTTTTCTTTATTTGTCTTGGGCGACAGAATCGAGGCAACCCAAAGTTCCGCAGGCGCAGTTCTCCTCCTCCTCGGCGGTGCGGGAGTCCGACTCGGCTGTTGCCGTGGTACTTGCCAGTAGACAGATAGCATCGGCGGTAGGAGGGGATATAGAGACTCCTGCAGGCTAATTGTAGCAGCCTGCGATCGCAGGTGTATCACTGATCCGCCTGTGAGGACTCGGGGGCTTCAACCTGATCGAGCCGCGCTCAGACTTGTGAGTAACAGAAAAAAAACCTGAGAGAATGTTGCACCAAGTACAATGAGCGCAGCTTTGTCGCAGACACCAAAATCCATATATGCTCCGTCGAATTCAGTTTTGATGAGCAATTCTGAGTCGTCTTTGGAATTTTAAAAAGTGGATCCCGCGACTTTACAACCATGCGAAATACTTGGCTGTCTCCCCGGAGTGCGATTTGGGAATACTGGACATCGCTGATTGCATGTCTCTTTTGGATTCAGTACTCTTACGGGATGCCTCATGTTATTCGAATAGGTAAGTTGTCCACATTTACATTTACACACACACACGTTTGTATTTCAGCATAACCTTGGAAGTTGCCTCTTTCTCCACTCATTTCAGCGCGGGTCCTCACATTGACACAGCGGCACCGGTTAGTTTTTGGAATAAATGAGCAGTCCCTTTCATTTACCGGTCGCCTCACGAGAATTTTCATTTTACTAAAACGAGAAGCAACCAGTAACAACAAGACAGCAATGCATTATTGCATTGCATTATTGCATCTATAAAATTGGGGATGCCTTCTCCACCCAGAGACCAATGAAATATTGTGGGTTACTGTGACCTCTATGCACTCTGCTTTGTCTGTTCCATTTTCTGCAGCCAGCATGTTGAGTCACCAGCTAAATTCAGGCTTATTGCCATGCCTTCTGGAAGTAAGTTTTAGCTTTTAAGGGCAGTCTGTTAAATTAAAAGCTAAAGCATCATATAAAGAAATACACTATCAGGAACTTTGAAGCAATGTTACAATGTATTCAGGGGAGGTAAGTAAAGTTTTATCTGATCTTATCTTTTACCTTATCACTGCAAACAAAACACACACAATATACGAAAACAGTCTTATTCTGTTCAAAGTTGCCTTCCTCCATGTGTGAGACACAAAAAGAAGAAGCAGATTTTGTGCTGGCATTGTCTTTCTTCCAATCACTCACTCACTGAGGAACAATGTGAGAATTGTCATTCGGAGGCAAGAGATGCGATGAAACATTTTGCGCCACTAAGAGACAGGAACAGAATGAAGATCAATACAGTTTTTGTCACAAGGCAAATCGTTTTTGACATTTGGCAGAGTGCCATGCAGGACTATTACTCAAAATGGCATTGGCCCACATTAACATACCACTACAACAGCCGGAGCACAGGCAGGGAGTGAGTGCATCTTACTGGCATAGAGCCTTTTGTCTTGGAGGTATAAATGATCGGTGAAAGGGGATGCGGGTTACAAAATTGCATATTCTATATTCCAGTACTATAACAGAGGTAAATGGCCTTTCCAAACCAGTTGTCTCATGTATTACATATCTACATATCAACTACATCCTACTGTAACACAACTCCTGTCAAGCTCAGTGGGTGGTCATTAAAAAGCATTAATACAAATGAAAGTTATTAGACTTTATCAGGATGAAGTACAGCTACATTTCGTAGCTCTACAACCTGAAGTGAATACTTTCAAGCCTCTGTATATTTAATGCAAATTCTAAAAGAAAGATACCATAGAAACACAAAATAAAGTTTAAGACTGTGGCCTAGAACAATGTTAAGCGCTGAGCATCATATGCAGCTGTCAGGGCAGGGTGTCCCTGTGATTGACTGATGCGCTCTGAAGAGCCATGACTTCTCTAACATTGCTGTGTATGGACTTTGGTGAGGTCTCAGAAACTGCATAAGTCCTTAAAGCTCCCTGATCTGAAATCGTATGGTCAAATACGACACTTCCCCCCGATTTTTTTTAAACTGAGACAGCAGCTCAAATGAAGACCTGAAATAGACTTGACATGCTTTGTTTTTTTTTAAAATGTCAAAGTGTTGAGACAAATTTACCTTGAAATGTGCTACAGTTGCACTATTGCTTTTTATAGAATCCATCATTGCTTGCGGTGCGGGATCAGTTTTTTTTGTGTGTGTGTGTTCCTGAGATTGTGTTTTGACAAGCTGAGGAAAGGGACATGCAAGAGAAGATTTGCCTCAATGCCAAAAGAAAAAAAAATATCCAAAAGGCGTACGTCTTCATATGATCTTCTGAAGCTGAGTGTTTATGTACAACGGCACTGTATCCATTTTATTTTGGCCACTTGATAAATAAGCCTGTGTGAAAATAACAAAGGAAGATGAAGTGATACTACATAATTGCACTTTTGCACATAAATGTCATTATATCGGATTTAATGGTGAATCAGCTTGAGGGAGTGCGTAAAATATGCAATGCATGTGTGTATTATTGCAGACATACTGTAGTATTCTCTGTGATAGGACGTTGGTAATCACATTCTGTTGATTCGTTGAGGGATGAGCGCTTTTGTGATTGGGCGTGTAGTGGACCGTTGTTGTCCTTGTTTTGGGGGGGGAATTTGGTACTTGGTGTGCAACTGTGTGTGCTGTGTGTGTCACAGCCACCCTGCTAAAACCAACAGAGGGCTCTCTTATAGTCAGTGCACGGCGGCCAAAGTCGCTCCTCAACACTGGTTACCAATGCAAACCAACCAGTGAAAATCAACGAGGTGGGCGGTGGTATTTGAGCACGGCGCTCTCTGTCTGTGCTGTGTCTACTCTTGGTTAGGTGGCCTGTGTAGTTCTCCAAGTACGCCATCTGGGTAATGGTGGGCATCCAAGGTAGAGTTGTTGCCATTGATTTTAGTGCTTTTACAGTGCATTGCTCTAAGTTGAGGCCAGATGGTTGCGCTGTCTCATTCTGAAGCTTGTATTTGTTGGAGAGAATAAAAGACTACTCCTCCTGTATTTGTCCTCTTACACGCTGTGCTTCTATTTAGTCTCCCTCTGGCTGCCTTTTGTAATTTATATTTTTTCCTGACATGTTTTGCAACCTCTCATCTCATCTAGGAACCATTTCAGTTGATAATGCAACGCTGTAAATAAAGACGAAAATGCTGGAGGAAGAGGATGTGAATTTTCTCTCAAAAGACAGTGTGTTTGTAGATAATTTTAGTTATTAGTTTGCCAATATGGAAATAAGACATAAATTAAAGCAGTGCAGTACAAGCAGTATACACGTGGTAGTTGCTTTGTATGCTTTGTTCTATAACCTCAGTGAGCAGTATTCTATATGCACAATTCGTTAATATCCCTACATACAAAGCTTTGTCTTCCATCAGTTATGGGTTGCCCAATTTGAAAATTCGACCAGATGAAAAGATCTGCACAGTGTACAGTACACATAATATATTTATTGTTACAGCATACAGTAATCACACATTATTATACATTGTCTCTTTCATCTGTGGATTGATGAAACTAATACATCATTTGATGGCTTTTTTTCTCTTTTAGTGAGGTTATTCATTGCCTGACAAGGATTTATTGAATAATCAATTACTTTATCTACCTAATACTTAAAGCACTTAATCAGTGCCAGTTAATCAATCTCCCTCTTGATTTCATGTTGATTTCATTTCCTTAACTCCTCGCTCTACCCCTACAACACCTGGTCACATGTGTTTTTCATTTAGCTTCCCTAAAATCCTCTGGGCAGCCATGACGCATGCAGACTTAATTATTGTGTGTGAAACAGCCTGAACATTTAAATATAAGCTGACAAATGTGCAGCACTTGAAGCTGTATGCAGTGTGACCACTCATAAGCTTCAGTGGGATAAATTGAGGTTTGTGGTCACCACTTTGGTCTGCAAACACAGAGCCACTTCAGAGGCTTGTCTTTATCCCCACACCAGCAGCAGAGGGAGAGACTGAGAAGTTTTCATGTGATTAACTCTTACAGCGAGGTATAGAGAGTGCACTCTCCACTTGCATGCTCCCCAAGATCCTCCTCGCCGGGGGTTTGTGCAAATGCCTCATCTGAAATGACTCAGACTTATTTCCAGAGACCGCAAAAAGCTGCAATGGTACTTTGCAATTCTACTTTTAACAAAATCAAACCCAAAGGGCTGCTTGTATAGAGAATTACCCACAGGAGGACGGTATGGGTTGGCAAAGAGAGGGAAGAGGACGACATTAAAGTGTTTGGTGATGAAAAAGAACAATGAGGAGATGTTGCATCAAAAGTTGTATCAAATTAAGATGGCCATCAGTCGCTGAGTGGAAATGAATATTTCATTTTCATCTAAATTTAATCTCTCCCTAGACAGAGGGAGGAAGCAGGGAGAAGCTGCTGGTGGAGGCTTGGGGCTGGGGAGTTGTCGTGGTGAATATGAACAAAGGCTGATAGAGGTCACAAAAGAATTGGATACAGGGGAAAGATTCTTTGATGTGTAATTCCATTATCTGTTAGCGAAAGCAGAGATTGAACGGAGAGGAGTACAACGGTTGTTTTAACTGCACTAACACACTCCCCTTCATCCACTTGTATAAACATGGACGGATAAGTGAACTGCAAAAGAAATAGCAGAGGCCTATTTTCTGCCTCTCACACTCTCCGGAAGCTATATCTTAGCTTCCACACACACACACGGACACACATAAAGCCATACTCCATCCACAACATTTTCCAAAACATATGCCTGGTCTCACTGGGCCTCTTGTACACAATCCAATTCCATTCTCTCTGTCAGCACACTCGTGGCTCATCATTAGCTTCAATCTTGCTGATGAGAAACGGCAGATGTTCGTTTTGTTGAGCAGAGGGCCCGTCTCTGAACGTGCTGTCTTCTGTACTTGCCTGTGATCCTGTTTAGACGCATTAGAAAGGAACAATCCACTTCCACAAACAAATATGTGCTGCAGGCGTGCCATAGTCTGTCTTTTCTGAAGCGCAGTGCCTGTTTTTAAGTTAAGTCAGAAAATGCCAGTCAACATGTATCAAACGCACTGTGTGAGTCCCAGAAAAAGTGTATTAAATAAACAGTGTTTATGTCTCAGACAAGGTGTAATAAATGCGTAACGCTCTGAAATGTACTCATAATGTGTCTGATCACTAACACTAACAAGACTTAACTGCGTCAAGGAAGTGCAGATACTTAGCTCCTTGTTCAGTCACACATAATAATGATTATCCAATAATCCAAGCCACTAGGGGCTAATAGAGCGGATCTACCAACCAGTAAGATAATCCTGTGACACAGCAGGGCCCTATGTAGCCCTAGCTAGCTTAGCCTAGCCGCTGCTAACACACCAGATGGTGTTTTCATATCGTACTACAAAGTGGGTGCTCTGCAGTGAAAGGTCTGCTGCAAGCATATGCTTCTGATGCCTTTTGAAATAAATAAGATGCAGAGTTCCTTATGTCTATACATGCCGTTTTTTCATTCAAAAAAATTAGGAAATCACTTGCATGCATGTACA